ATGACCTAAAGTATACATTAGTGTGCAGTAAGTAGTATGACATAAAGTATACGTTAGTATGCAGTTTAGTTAGTATATGCTAGGTATTCAGTAGTATGCAGTAAGTAGTATGACAAAGTATACATTAGTATGCAGTTTAGTTAGTAAGTGCTAAGTATACAGTGGAATACAGTAAGTAGTATGACATAAAGTACACATTAGTATGCAGTTTAGTTAGTAAGTGCTAAATATACAGTAGAATGCAGTAAGTAGTATGACATAAAGTATACATTAGTATGCAGTTTACTTAGTATGTGCTAAGTATAAAATAGTATGCAGTGAGTAGTATGTCATAACAGTATATACATTATGCAGCCCAGTACTTGTACTGTGGTATGAGCTGCAGTATTTACAGTTTAACTTCCAGTAAGCCCATTTTACTGAACCAAGTGGGAAATAGCCATGCACAAAGGGTTTGAACCAGGTCTGGGGACACAGGGGACACCGTCTTAAAACAAGTCTGGGGACACCGTCTTAAAGGGGCAGTGTCCCAATCTTCCTGATGTCCCCAAAAAGTGTTTAAAGGGCCAGCACCAGTCCCATAAAGAGTCCATAAGCCACAATATGCCCACTGACTGTCTTAAAAGGCCATACACACAAAATAAAAGTGCATATGTTTTCACCATCTCCCAGGGGCCATAGTCATGTGGAAGGAGGCTGGCAAATAGGCTTCTCCAATGCCCATTGGCAAATGGCAGTTTGTCACAATATCCTTTACAGGATCAGACGAGGTTTATATGAATTCAATTTACATTCATATAAGAATGTCTTAAAATAAATAAAACAAAATAAAATGAAATAAAATAAAAAGTATGTTTAAATCGCAAACTAACAGCCTAATTAATAGTCCAAAGCAGCAATCTGGGCCAGCTGCCAAGAAAATACAACTGTAGCAGCCGGAATGAGTATTGAAATGTTGCGTGTTGGTACCCAATTGATACTCTTAAAAAGTGTCCATCTATGTCAAAAATACTTGTAGAAATTGATATTCTTTTAAAAAATATAAACTTTATTTACATCAATAATAATAATAATACTGAATGGTTTGAATAGACCATAAAATACTAGGTAAAAAATATTCCACAAGAGTATTCCAGAATGAGAGAAGGTAAAAAGATGATATAACCCAAATCCACACAGACGGGTTAGAGAGAACGGATTCCTGGCAAGTTACAGACGTCCTCATTTGCAACACAACGTCATCCTGGAGGCTCACCTCTTGATGTGAGGTCAGAGGGGAAGTTCCAAAGAACGCGGACGCCGTCTTCACCGGCTGCTGCAGAATCAACTTGGAAGGGGAATACCACAATCGTCAGCCATCCAGACGAACTGTTCAGGTTATATCATCTTTTTACCTTCTCTCATTCTGGTATACCCTTGTGGAATATTTTTTACCCAGTATTTTATGGTCTATTCGAACCAGTATTCAGTATTATTATTATTGATGTAAATAAAGTTTATATTTTTGACATAGATGGACACTTTTTAAGAGTATCAATTGGGTACCAACACGCAACATTCCGGCTGCTACAGTTGTATTTTCTTGGCAGCTGGCCCAGATTGCTGCTTTGGACTATTAATCAGGCTGTACTAACAAGCCTAGGTTTGATTTAAACTTACTTTTTATTTTATTTCATTTTATTTTGTTTTATTTATTTTAAGACCTTCTTAAATGAATGTAAATTGAATTCATATAAACCTCGTCTGATCCTGTAAAGGATATCCCAACAGGGCAGAGGTTATCTATGATACATATGTGCTATAATTTTAAGTTTTCTTATTTGGACTGATTCTTTGTACATTTATTATTCAGACTTTTATACAGAGCAAATATCCGGTAATCTATTTCTCTGTTTTTCCCAGCATTTGAGATTATATTAATATCATATGTGCCAACACAATTGTTAATATATCTTATGTTTATCAGATATATGCTTTATTAGATATATGTTATAAGCTCCTGGATACTCTTTTATATCTATTTGTTTACATTTTGTTTTGATCAGAACGTGTACATTTGACTCCGTCCTGAAGGGGTCAAACTGTGAGGCATTTAAACTGTGATGCTTTTCAACTGTGTTGCATTTCAGCTGTGTTGCATTTAAAACTGTTGCACATTTTAAACTGTGATTCATTATGCAGATGTGCCTTAAAGGGACACTCCAGGCACCCAGACCTCTTCTGCCCATTGGAGTGGTCTGGGTGCCAACTCCCACTGCCCTTAACCCTGCAACTGTAAAAATTGCAGTTTTCATAAACTGCAATATTTACCTTGCAGGGTTAACTCCTCCTCTAGTGGCTGTCTACTAGACAGCCACTAGAGGGCACTTCCGGGTTTATAGCACACATTTTCTATGCTATAGTGTGGCTGGACATCCTCACGCTATGTGAGGACCTCCAGTGTCGCTGAAATCCCCATAGGAAAGCCTATTGGGGAGGTCTAACGCGCATTAGGTCTCCCCCATCGCCGGGAGGAGCGTGGGTGGACCCTGAACCAGTGCCGAGGGATATCGGCGCTGGATACAGGTAAGTCACTGAAGGGGTTTTAACCCCTTCAGCAACCTGGGATGGGGGGTGGGAGGGAGAGGGGACCTGCAGTGAAAGGAAAATGGTTTGTTTTCCTGGCACTGGACAGTCCCTTTAAGGCTGTGATGCATTTCATACTATGAGGCCTTTATACTATGGTGCCTTTAAACTTTTACTTTTGCACCTTGTTGCCTTTTAACTATCTTGCAGGCACTTTTACATTATCTATTTTGCTTCTCCTCGGTCACAGCTATTTATTCCCAGTTCCCTGGGTGTTCAGGGGCCATGTATGCTTCAGACTTTTTTTATACACTACTCTTAGGTTTGCCACCTGACTGGTATTTTACTGGCACAGCCGGTATTTGAGGCTGCCTGGCCATGCCGGTATTGCAGTAATACCGGCAATAGCAATACAAATGCAGGTACTTTTTTCAGAATAAATGGAGATTACTCCGCAATACCAGCACCGGTCAGTAGGGGTCACTGTGTGTGGAGAGAGGCAGGGATAGGACGTTACAGCATATCCCTGCCTCTCTCTACTACTCACTGATCTGTGGGGGAGCAGCTACACAGCACAGAGAGTCCAGACAGCAGCTCTACAGCTCAGGTAAGTAAGGGATGAGGGGAAAGGCAGCAGGGACACATGGGGACACTGAGACACTAAGGGACATATGGGGACACTGAGGCACTAGGGGACACAGACACTGGGAGACCTGGAGACACAGGAAAACATGGGGACACTGAGACACTAGGGGACACTGGGACACATGGGGATGCTGTGAGACATAGGGACATTGGGAGACACTGAGACATTGGGACACGGAGACACTATATCCCCATTTCTCCCAATGTCACCATGTCCCCCATCCAGTGTTGCTAGTGTCTCAGTGTCCCCAAGTCTCCCAGTGTCTGTGTCCCATGTCTCTCAGTGTGCCTAGTGTCCCAGGGTCCCTATATGTCCCAGTGTCCCCATGTCTATGTCCACAACTGTCCACATGTCTCCCAGTGACTCCAAGTGTCCCCATGTCTCCAAGTGTCTGCCTCCCAGACAGTGTCCCCTAGTCTCCCAGTGTCTCTGTGTCCCTAGTGTCTTAGTGTCCCCAAATGTTTCAGTGTCCCCATGTCTCCCAGTGTCTGTGTCCCTAGTGTCTCAGTGTCCCCATTTCTCCCAGTTTCCCTAAATGTCTCAGTGTCCCCATGTCTCTCAGTGTCCCCATGTCTCACTGTGTTTCCAGATCCTAGTGACATGGGGACACACTGAGATATTGGGACACTGAGACACTGGGAGACTAAGGGACTGGGTGACATGGGGACACTGACACTATGATACATAGGGACACTGAGACATTGGGTGACTTGCGAGACTGAGACACTGGGAACTCACACTGCCGCTGGGAACTCACGGCTGCCTGTAACTCGGACTGTCGCTGGGGAGGAAGGACGACACCTTCGGCTCCCTGTAACTCGCACTGTCGCTGGGGAGGAAGGACGACACCTTTGGCTCCCTGGGACCCACACTGCCGCTGGGGAGGAAGGACGACACCTTCGGCTCCCTGTAACTCGCACTGTCGCTGGGAAGGAAGGACGACACCTTCGGCTCCCTGGGACCCACACTGCCGCTGGGGAGAAAGGATGACACCTTCGGCTCCCTGTAACTCACACTGCCGCTGGGGAGGAAGGACGACACCTTCGGCTCCCTGGAACTCACACTGCTGCTGGGGAGGAAGGACGACACCTTCGGCTCCCTGGGACTCGCACTGCCGCTGGGGAGGAAGGGCGGCACCTTTGGCTCCCTGGAACTCACACTGCCGCCGGGGAGGAAGGATGACACCTTCGGCTCCCTGTAACTCACACTGCCGCTGGGGAGGAAGGACGACACCTTCGGCTCCCTGGGACCCACACTGCCGCTTGGGAGGAAGGACTTTGGGTCCCTGTAGGGCTGGTAGAGAGACCTCGGTCCCATCTCTACCTGCCATCTGGAGGTCATCCCAGGACCAGTCAATGAGGTCTGGTTCTGCTTGTTGGGTAGGTTGGGGCTGCACGAAGCTGAGCAGGTGTTGGTAGTCCTGCTCCAGCTCCCACTCCCTTGTTACCAGGTGGATCATGTCTTTGCTCACCTCGCATTCGTCAACCCAGATATACATGCCCATCCGGTAGTCGTAGATGTCCCAAAACCTAGACCCCTCTGTGCTGCCAAGATCAATGTCATCCTCCAAGGCATCCCATAATAAACCCGGGCCATCATAATCATCCCCCTCCTGTAAGTCGTGCTCGGCCGTCCAGGGGGTAAGTTGAACGGTATGCCACCAGAGGGCCTGGTATGCGTTGTGTAGCCAGATCTCTCGCCATACCAGGGTCAGTGGTGTATCCTGGTTTTGTGCTGCCCTAGGCAGGACAAAACTCAGGCGCCCCCCTCCCCCCCGCACAAACACACACAAACACACACACACAGTCAGACACATACACAAACACACACACACACACAGTCAGACACATACACAGACACAGACACAAACACACACACACACACAGTCAGACACACACACACACACACACAGTCAGACACAAACACACACACAGTCAGACACACACAGTCAGACACAGACACACACAGTCACATACACACACACAGTCAGACACAAACACACACACACACACAGTCAGACACATACACAGACACAAACACAGTCAGACACAAACACAGACACACACAGTCACATACACACACACAGTCAGACACAACACACACACACACAAAGACAGAGACACAGCACCACAGACACACACACACACAGTCAGACACACACACACACAGTCAGACACACACACACACACACACACACAGTCAGACACACACACAGATCCAGACACACACAGTCAGACACAACACACACACAAACACACGAACACACACACACACACACACACAATAACACACACAGTCACACACACACACAGTCAGACACAAACACACACACACACACAGTGTCAGACACACACACACACACACACAGTCAGACACACACAGTCAGACACAAACACACACACAAACACACAGACACACACAGTCACATACACACACACAGTCAGACACATCCACAGACACACACAGTCAGACACATACACAGACACAAACACACACAGTCAGACACAAACACACACACACACACACAGTCAGACACAAACACACACACACATTAACTTTTTTTTTAATTTAAATCCCCCCCAACCTCCTTACCTTTGGGAGTGCTGGGGGGGGGTCTCTCTCCCTGGTGGTCCAGTGGCTGCAGGGCGGCGCTGGCAGGCGGGCGGGCGGCCGGCGAGGGAGCACTTCCCATGAGCTGACTGCTCAGCTCCCTCGCGCGTCAGCTGCAGTGTGAGGCTGGGAACCGGAAGATGACGTCATCTTCCGGCTCCCAGCCTCACTTTGCGGTGCGCGAGGGAGCTGAGCAGTCAGCTCATGGGAAGTGCTCCCTCGCCGGCCGCCCAGGATGTCAGTTAGCCGCAAGGCTAACAAGGCATCTGCCCTGGGCATTTGGGGGGCGGCGTTTTTTGCCGCCCCCTGAAAAATGCCGCCCAAGGCAAATGCCTTGTTTGCCTCGCGGCTAATACGTCCCTGACCAGGGTCTCTAGTCTTGTCACCCACTCATCCAGGGGCTGCTCTCCCAATAGATACATCCGCATCGCCACACGCATCTGTAGCCGCTGCTCATCACTGGGGAGACTCTCACTTCGCCGCCATTGGGCATCTTCCAGGGCATCATACCAGAGTTCCTTTCTGTCTGCATCCCTGTAGTCCGCGGCCGCCTCCTCCTCATCCTCATCATGGAACGCTGTCCGAAAACTAGCCGATTTCATCCTGCTGAAGTCAGGGGTGCTGTACGGATATTAGCGTTGCCCTCAATTTGTAAATCCAAACGTTACCAGTGTCTCCGAGCTGCTTTTCCTCGTACTAGGATGCCATCCCACCGCTGACATCACTGTAACGGATCATCTGCCACCCTGACTGGGTACCTCCGTTGAAGGATGCTCCTAGCGCTTCCTGAGGACGCCAAGCACTGCAGCAGACACCACAACCACCGCAGACTCCACAACCGCTGTAGCTTGACTGGAGTCTCGCTGTCTTCCTTCTGTCCTCCAGGACCGTGTGGGAAAGACTTCCACCCTGTGTGAACCTCCAGCATCCAGGACTGTGTGGTGAAGACCTCTCCTCCAAGGAGAGCGTGTCAGGAACAAGCTCTTAAAAGAGCTAAATGATTCAAGCTCAGGGGAGTATACAGAGCATAGCAATCCCCAGTGTGATTATAACTGCTCCCTCCAATAACAAGACAAGGCTACATTTAGAGGGATCAAGAAGAACTGTCTAAACCTTTATTTTCCTTGGGACCAGCCCATAGGGTCACCACAATAACATTGTTCTGAAACCTCAATAAAATCACAAACAGTCAAACCATAGCAGGCAACACACAGTGACTTATCACAACACAATGGCACATTTTTAAAGGGGTGGGGGAGACAATATTTAACAGTAAATATATCACCTGCCTGCAGAATTAGCAATATGCAAATCTACCCGAATATGCAAATGAACCAGTCTTGCAATTCAGGTAGTGCATATTGCTGTTGCTACCAACAGAGGGCACTAGACAAGCTCCATAGCCAAACCCACCTAGTTGGAAGCAAACCTCAGCTTTACAGGAGAGCAGGCAATACATTTCATAGTACACACACACTCACTATAAACAATTACATTACACACATCCTGCACCTATAATGGGTACAGGGTGACTGAAACATAAGAGAAATAAAGCAGCCTACATAAATAGTCTGTCTGAAGGTAGACTAGGGGCTTTAAAGCCAAATACATGAAAGAGTCATAGTCACAGGGGAGGAGGCTGGCAAGCAGGCCTCTCCAGGACCAAGTGGCGAAGGGCACTTTGTCACAGGGAGGTACTGTCACAGTGTCATTCCGGTCCTGTTCATCCTGGCATGTCTACTACATTGGGGGCTGTACCTTGACTATGGCTGTGCTTCACCTGACCCTGATCAGACATCAGCAGGGTATTTAAACTCAGCCTCACCCTGTGATCAGGATCAAGTCTCTGATCCTGTTGTGTGTTCCGTACCAGTGTTCCTGTCGTTTGATCTGTTACTTATTATTGACCCTGGCTTCTGACACCATTTACTCTGACCTCTAGCATCCCTTGACTTCGGCTACTCCTTGTTGTTACTGTCCTCTGGCATTCTTTGACCTCGGCTATCCCTTGACGATCCTGCTGTTTGAGTCCTTGCCTGTCCTGCGACTTGGTACTTCATCCTGCGCAGCCTCCATGCACAGACCCACAGGCCAGGTGAATTCTTACCTGACCATCTTGGCCTGTGGCTATCTGCAAGGGTGAGCAACATATCTGTGCTACAGACTCCCAACTCAGGTAAGACCCTGCCCATTTTTTAGCCAATTTTAGTTCCAGAGATTTGACAGCACACACCGCTGACTGCGTTCGACTGAATAAAGATGGCTGCCGCCACATGTTGGACTGTACGAACGGCGGCCACCCAGCGGTCGGCAATTAACCTACAGCAGCCTCCCAGCCTGGGAGGTAAATTAGTTGCACGCTTCCACTTCTGTGTGGTCCGCCTGTACAGTACTTGGTTCGGTAAGCCCCATTTACCGAACCAAGTGGGGAAAAAGCCCACAGTATATTAAAGGTCTGTGGACACAGTCTTAAAGGGGCATTGTTCCCAAAAGTCTCATTATGCCCCAATAACAGTTTTAAAGGGCTGTACACCACAGGGCCATAATCCTGGGGCAAAAGGCGAGCAAACAGGCCCCCCAGTACCCAGTGACGAGGTCACTTTCACCACATGACTCATCCTCCAAGTCTGCCCTCTACACCATTTTTTATTTGAAGGGGAGGTGCTGTTTGGGAAAGCTTTGGATGAATCAATTGAAAAGGTGATTGAGGGCTGCAAGGTATTAGTACCTCAGGACTGAAGTTCCAAGAATCCCAGCTACTCATAGTCAGACCAGAGAACCTCCAGTGACCAGCATTTCTGAGATACATGGAGCTACTGACCCTGCATGGAATACTCCAAGGGTAACTCATAGCAGTTAGTAAACCTGCCTTTTAAAATTCTAATGGAGCTATGAAGCAATCATTTTGCTCTTCAGCAATGAACATGTCTCCTCCAGTAGGAGCCTCATTTGTTCTGATCAGACATACCTGGGCTCATCACATTCTGGAGACTTGGGTGGTATCCATAGTCCATATTGATATAGACTGGAGTTTTTTCTTCACACACAGGAGTCTCTATACCAACTAGAGAATTAAGACAGATGAATCAAAAGGTAAAGCACTGCATGAATATGTAAGAAGCCTTCTGGATGAAGAGGTGATTTCTTAGGTCCCATAACAAGAGCGGTTCCAGGAACGATATTCGACTCTCTTCTGGTGCTAAAAGAAAAAGCACATGGAAGGCTGCACTGGACCTAAGAAGGGCCAAAAGGCTGAATGTCAGCATCTTCGGGATGGAGTCAATCAGATCCATATCTCAAGCAATTTGGAAGAATAATTTCCTTATCTCTATATATCTCAAGGATGCTTACTATCATTCCAATCGGCCTAGATCTTCAGCATTATCTCAGAAGAGAACTTCCAAATTAGTGCCCTACCATTTGGCCTCACTGCAGCCCCAAGAACCTTATATGTGCTTATAGTGATATTGAGAGTCCAGAACACCACCTGGCTCCATTATCTGGATGGTCTGCTTCTGGTAGCCTCCTACCCACAGAGGCCTCATACCCTCAGAACTCCTGAAGTTTGGCTGCTTGATGAATATCAAGAAAAGCAGTTTCACACCAGTTCAGTGGTTCACATTTCAGGGTGGAAGATTCATTCATTTTTGCTTGGTAACAGCAATAAAGTATATGCAACTACTAGGAATCCTGGCTTCCACCATCAGACTTCTCAGAGGTGCCCTATCGCATCTCTGGATTCCTCATTCCTTCCTATCTTGGTTTAACTAGAGAAATATTATTGGAGCCAGCCACTGACTATGTCCCCATCATTGGAGTTACACCTTACCTGCTAGCTGAAAAGAGAGAATATATCTCTGAGTTTCCAGTAAACAGAACCTCATTGGTCAATTATAAGTTTGGATTCCAGTTTTCAAAGATTGGTTGCACAGTGTTTGGACCATGTTGCACAATATTTCAATTCAATTGTATGGGGTTACAAGTCATTCTCAGGGCTCTTCTTCACTTCAGAGGGTTGCTGAAGAACAAGTGGGTCCAAATTTGCTCAAATATCAATGTAACTGTATCCTATATCTATCAATATGGGTCTCACAGCTACGTATTGATGGAATTCCAGCCCATGATGATCAGGGCACAGAAGAACAACCAGGGGCTCAGAATACAATGGCTGATTACCTGAGCCGAATAAATGTGGACAAGGTGGAATGGCAACCATGCCCCGATGTATCCTTGGGGTTGACGCAGATTTTTTGATACCCTACGTAGATCTGATGACCATTTCTTGGAACTACAAGGCCCCGGTCACCGGTCTCTTGTCCTGACTGTGAAACTGAGAACGGCTCATTAAATAAGTTATGGTTCCTTTGATCGCTACATCTGTTACTTTGATAA